ATCCTGCTGTTCACGACCATTGCCAAATTGAAAATACTGGTACAAATTAGGATTTGGAGAAAATGTCAACACTCGTCTGACTAAGATATGTAAGAGCCAACTTGGGTTTTAGCTTAATATCCAAATAACACTAATAATCCAAGAGACAAGAGAGGTTGGAGAAAACTGCTTAATGAGGAGCTTCATAACTTGTACTCTTCTCCAAGTATAATTAGACTGATCAAGTCAAGGAGGATGAGGTGGGCAGGTCATGTAGCACGAATGGGGGAGATGAGGAATGTGTATAGGATATTGGTAGGAAAGCAAGAAGAAAAGAGACCACTGGGAAGACCAAAGCGTAGGTGGGTGGACAATATTAAAATGGATCTTAGGGAGATAGGATGGGATGGTATGGATTGGATTGGTTTGGCTTAGGATAGGGACCAATGGAGGGCTCTTGTGAACATGATAATGAACCTTCAGGTTCCATAAAATGCTGGGAAATTCTTGAGTAGCTGCAGAATTGGGCACTCCTCAAGAAGGGCTCAGCTCCATGAGTAAGTAATTATGTAATCCAAGAGACAATATAAGTCAGCTGCATAGTGATTATTTGCCAGTGGTTTACCATGAAGGATAAATGGCCCCTGTGGTTAAGCATACTATGAAGGCACACTAGTGGGAGTAGAGCTAAAGCTGTATATGTTCTTAGATTTGATGCTTGGAGCCAATTCTGATATCCGCTGCAAATGAGGGTGGGAAGACTCCAGAGGTGTGAATACGTGTATAGTGGTGAAAGATAAAGATCCCAGCTGCTGTCAGGAATGGAACCCACTGTCCAGTTGTTTTACTGGTGGACTATCATGCTGCTATACAGCTTCTATTAGACTTGCTACATACACACATTCCTCTTTTTGTAAACAGTCATTGAGTGAATTTGTTTAGTAATGGATTATTTAACAACAGTGTCACTAGCTTAGACTATATAGCACTGAAGGGTAGGATGATCAGTGAATAATAAATTAGAAAGAATATGGAAGGAAGTGGTAATGATTAATTTGAAATACCATATTGGAAGAACTTGAAAACCACCAGATGGAATGGTTGGTGTCAAAGTCAATATTTGAACTGATCATTTCCTGAAAACATGTCAGAAGTATTACAATTTCAGCCAGCTTGCTGGGTCATTGAGTGAAGATGAATATTTATAACATTTATTTGCAACGCAACATGCAACAAATACTTACATTTGTATGTAAACAATTTTATTTCTCATATATACATGTATTATAAAAATATGCACAGATTTTAATGCTATGACATATAATTTATTATTATTATTATAAAGAAATTGTTTCAGGTATGCAAGTAATTTGCTTCAGAACATATAAATAAATAATTAGTTTAGAATGCACTTTTCATGAATGAGCAAACTCTGAAATCTGTACAAGAAAACTAAATTGCATAAAGCAGGTACAGATTACATGAGCGTTTTGGAAAATTCGACTTCATTTAAATTTGCTATAAATACAATCATGCTGTTACAAAATCACTGTGGAGTATTCAGATCCAATATAACAGTCCAATGTCACACTCAGGAAATTGGAATTATTCAGGGGGTCGAAGAGGGAAGCCATCATGCCAACACTTATTCTACTTCTACACTACTTCTACTTATTCCAGTCATGCCATATTCACCAGAACGCAGAGCAGATCACTAATATAAAGATGGCTGACAAATTCTTAATACGAAAAAAAAAGAAAGGGTAAGCTATCCCTGTAATAGGCCGTGGAGGCCCATAGGGTTGTGAGACATTGAGGCTTCCACATTTTCTAGACAATTGACTAGAGGCTGTCAGCCTTATGCACCGGCTGCCCTTTACCACTAGGAAGATCCCTGGTACTCATTTCTGTTAGAGGCTGAGTCAACCCCAGGGCCATAGTGCGGCTAGAAGGCGCAGGTAAATTGAACAATCCAATGACCTCACTGGGAATCAAAACCGTGATCTTCCTGTACAAATTTGAAATATCTGGGAACTACAGTGATAAATCAAAATTGCAGTCATGATGAAATTAAGGGCAGATTAAATTAGGGAATTCTTGCTATCATGCACACGAAATTTTTGTCAGAAAATCTGAGGGAAAGAGACCATGTTAAGATCCTTATGTGTAGATGGGATGATAATATTAAGATGGATCTTGAAATACAATAAATAGAATGTGGAGGTTTGGCTTAGGTTTATCTAACAGAGGAGAGGATCTTGTGGTGTGCTCCTGTGAATCAGTAATGAAATATTAAGATTCTATAAGAAGTTAAGAATTTCTTGACTAGTTGAATGTCCATCTGCTTCTTGAAAAGGATTATGCTGTATGGCACAGTTTTTTGACAGGCAGTTTGCTTCTCTTTGAACTTCCCTCAAACTCCTGTAGCACATCTGTGGATTCTTTGCGTCACACTGGTTGAAAATCGCTGCTCTATGGAGTCAGGGAAATATAATCCAATGGTAGCTGCAATGGTTCACTCCCTTCTAAGTTTAAATACTTCTGGCGTCACTCTCAGGAATGTTATAAGTAGGGCCCGGATTTTTATGACCTAAAAACTATAAATATATGCATGCACTTATGACCCAAAATTATGTCAAATATGACCTAAAAAGTGTAAAATATGACCTTAAATATTAAATGGGACATAAAATTTCACAATTTTAATTACAACTTTTACTATAGTTTAAGAATAAAGTTGATGAATATATGATAGTAGGTCCTACTTACCAAATTAGCCCTATTATGTCTCTGAAGGAAAGAAAACTGATGGAATTTCGACATTTCGTACTGGATTAAACCATTCATTGTTTTCTTTTTAATACTGATATTTGCGTTCATATTTTAGACAAACACTGGTGCACATGGTATGAACACTAACTTAACTCTGTTATCTAAAAACACCATTTAAAAGAACACAAGCTATTCACGTCTCAATTTTCACTGAGTTATTCACGTCTCAATTTTCACTGTTACAATTGCAATTTATAACTACATGCATTTTCAAATTTTCAAATTTGAAAGATCGCCGATTATCACTAAGGATAGTTTTGTATTTGGAAAAACTTCGTTCCACATCACATGATGTGACAGGAGCATATTTGAAGAATGTCAAGTCGTTTGGTGACAGTTCTGTATCATCTTCGAATGTTGCTAGTTTACCGGAAAGTATATCTGCAATCTTGCATAATGTTGAATAACCAGCATTCCGATGAAGAACACTTTCTATTTTGGTTTTAATCCTGTCACTTATTTCACCACGAGTTCGGTTTAGTTCATTCTCAATGCTCTTTACAGTGTCCAACGCGTCACAGAGTTCAGTCCCTACAAATTCCAGGCGAGTTATTGCACCTGAAATTGAACAGAAGTTTGACTTTATGTATGCCAGATTTTGTGCTAGAGTGGTAGAGAATAAGTCCTTGACAGCTTTAATTGATGTTGACTCACTGCTGTCAAAGCCATTAAACATTTTCTCAATGGCTGTGTAATTTTCACAATAATATGCCACAGCATCCAACCATGTACCCCACCGTGTGACGACAGGCTGTGGAGGAAGTGGCAGTAGAGGAGCTTCTTGTTTAAATTTCTGCACTCGAAGAGGGGCCTTGATGAATATTTTCTTTCCGTTTGAAACTAGCCTATCTACATCAGGAAAATGTCCTCGAACTTCTTCAGCCACTCTATGCAATGCATGAGCGAGGCAAGTAATATGGACCATTTTCGGGTAGAGGATTCGAAGTCCTTTGGCAGCCTTCTTCATGTATGGAGCGGCATCTGTTACTAGGAGAAGGACATTATTTCGCTGTATTCCATTTGGCCACAACAACTTCATGGAATTATCAAATAGGACAGCTATAGTCGAATGATTTGCTCTTTCGAGAACTTCACAGTCAAGAAGAAATCTCTCTCCAGGTTGATCTTGTTTCAGGGTCCCAACTATAACATTCGCAATATACCGCCCATCTACGTCAGAAGTCTCGTCCAAGGAAACCCATATCTTGTTGTCAGCAACAGATGTTCGAATCTTATTTAACATATCTTCATAACATGTAGAGAGATAATTCTTTCTTAACGTCGATTCACTTGGGATAGGATGACTAGTGTATGTCTCCAAAAATTGTCTGAAGTGCTGATTATGCAATTTCTCTAATGGAATATTCGAAGATACCATCCACTGACACAAATCCTTCGAAAATTCCGACCCATTGTTCGTTGAAGAAGGAGAAGAAGAAGAAGAAGAAGAAGAATTAGTGGAACTGTTTTTAAACAACAAACTTTGTCTGCTATCCTTTGTAGATAATCTGCTTAAACATTTACCATGTTTAAAAGTTTTACAATGCTGCTGCACAGTAAATCGCTTTTCTGCCGTAACTTTCACGCCACACAACTTACAATAAAATATCTTGCCATCGGTACTAAACACTTTTTCACCAAACTCCTGTACAAAACTACGCAACTTTGCGCTCCTTGAACTACATGTACTCACTTTAGGCATTGTAAAGTCAAACTGAAGTCTTATAACGCCCTCCACATATATAAATAGAATACTTCTAAGCCCTCCAAGAAAGAATGGGATGTATATACCTTATAGTAAGACGGAGTACAATAGGAGAATACCCGTTACACTTGCCTCCCTCCTGCCTCGACTGGGAAAGGCCGGCTTGCCAGGTCATAAATGCTGCATTTCACAAATTTTCGCCTTTGTAACTGCAAGTACAGTCCAGTCAAAAATATGGTTTTTAATACGAACTTCATGTACTTGAACTCTATTCCACATTGAAGCAACAGTCCAGCCTGAAATTTATTTTGTAATACTAAACATTATGGAGCCGAAATTTTACATTATATCAAAGAATTGTTTCTAAAATGACAAAAATATGACCTTATTTCAAAATTATGCCAAAATATGCTGTAAAACCAATAAAACTCTAAAATATGCATTTATATGCGCAATAAAAATGACATAATTTCAGTAAGAATGACTGGAAACATGCATAAATACATTTAAAAATAGGAATAAACCCTAGGAAAAAAATATGACATGTCATAGAAATCTGGGCCCTAGTTATAAGCATTTTATTTGAGTCTGTTTAGGCGCACCTGACCTGCATATGGTATAAACTGTGAAATGAGAGGATGATTATAAATAATGAAGTGGGAAGAACATGGAAGTAGTTTTGACCTATTTTAAGGCACCTGGAGGGTCTAAGTGAAACTATTCAGTATTTTGGCCCTTCAATACATTTGTGCAGGAAATAAAGGAAATTATTCCTACACAGTTTCTACCTTACACAGCCCAATGTTAAACAATTAGGTTTGCACACCTCCCCTCCTCAGTGGTTTAGATATTACAGATATGCTACTAATATGACAAACAAAACAAGTCATTAGATCTTAAATTTTGGGATGTGACACAATGTAATTTTGGAGATAAGTACCAACATTTAAGAGAAATGTTATTACATGTACTATATCAAACATCTCATCTCATCCTGGAAGATGCAGTCTTCAGAATGATAGCCATGAGGACCTTCAGTCTCACAATCAGAGTTGTAGCTGTTCAGCAGGAGTTCCTAGATGAAGAAGCGTTCTCCACTAGTTCACTCTTTGTTTCTCCTCATTAATAAGAACTTTAACAAAAATACAAAGAAAACTGAATTGTGCAGAGTATTAATAATCCATTTATGATGACAAGATTATGGGATGAACTAGTTTCTGTTTGTCTCCTCCATCTGAGGTTGGTCAGCACACATTATCATTAGATGGTGCATGTAGCTACATTTTGTAATTTCATGAAGTGAAATTTCATGTGAAATAATGCAATCCATTAGTGTACTGTGAAAAATGGCTTGGCTGGCAGGTAAGCCAACAGTAGAGTTACTGGTAGAATTAATTGTAGCCTGTAGCCAACAAGAAGTTCTTCTGTTCTCCACCATTAACAGGTATCTTTTACCTCACAAAGATGAAATCAGCAGCATGTCTCAATAAGGAGAGACATAACACGTCTCAACAATAACCTTCTTTGTTTCTCCTTGACACATATGATGACTGATCTGAAAAATAAAAGTTATAGAACATGTCAGAGAAATATCATTGAGGAAAACACAATTCTGATACATGAAGCAGAAACAAGCAGACTTATTCTACAGAATTTCCTGGAATGCCAATTATTATGTGTACTTTTTAAAACCCACTTGCCTGTTACATTGGGAGTCAGGCAGGTGTGGATTTTATGTTGCACATATCTAGACTATATAGCATCAAATGGTAGGGCGACTGTTGAGTTAGAAAGAATGTGAAAGGAAAGAGTAAACCATGAAAAACCTCAGTCAGGGCAGCCATTACATCCATATTCTTTATTATAAAATTCAGTTTGTTTCTTGCTGCAGTCTCATATTCTAAGAAGATGATGATCTTGTGAGCAATTACTGAAGTAAGGTAGAAGAAAAAGGTAAAGCTATCTCTGTAACAGGCCATGAAGACTCATAGGATTGTGAGACACTGAGATTCCCACATTTTCTAGAGTCTGCTCACAGATGGCGGTAAGGTTGTCAGCCTTTTGAACTGACCACCATTTACACCCCAGGAAGATTTGTGGTACTCATTTCTGTTAGAGGGTTGGTTCACCCCAGGACCATGGTGCGGCTGGAAGGATTAGGTAAATTGAAAAAAATCCAGTGACCTCATCAGGTATCCAGCCTGCAACCTTCCAGCTTGTAGCATACAGCTTCAACCAACTATGCTACTGTGTGCCCCTGAGCAATAAATATAAGCGAAATTATTCACCATGAATTACTAATCATGAATTTCTGCTTGCTAACTTGCAAAATAAACTCACTTCAGAGGATTGTGTAACCACATTTTACAAGCTGTGTTCATTACTGTACCTTAATGGCATTTGTATACTGTCAAGAATTATGGTAAAAAGACACTGGATTACTTCACCTTCTGCAGGCAACAAGTCTTCTCAGTATCACCACACTGCCATAGTAGTGGAAGAGATGGAACCAGAAGCATATTTCCTCTCTAAAATACAGAACAAAAATATGTCTTTTTCATTAAGATGGTCCTAGTCCGTGGTGAGTAAACTTCTTAGTGGGGTAGAAGTCAACAGTACAAATTCATTTCTTCATCCACATGAAGAGTGTAAGGTACATACAGGTATAACTTATTCAAATGAAGAAGTTCAAAATAAAACCTCATATTCATAACAAACAAAAACAATAAACTCCGTGATTTTAGCCCGCAAGCGAACTATACCGACTGAGCGACCGCCGCTTGTCGGCGAAGTTAATGCCAACTTTTGCGGATGGAGGGTGTTGCGTGGTCAGCGCAACGAATCCCCATGGCTGTTAATTTCGGTTTTCTAGACCAAAGCCACTACTTTTCCATTCAAGTAGCTTCTCAATTATACTTATGAGGCTCAGTGGACCCCGTTCCAGACCCACTACTTCTCAGAAAATCTGGCAGTGCCAGGAATCGAACCCGGGACCTCTGGGTTTGTAGCCAGGAACCACTAGACCACAGAGGTTGTCTATTACAGTTGGGAAACATCAAGGAAAGAGATCATACAGGAGTGTAGATGGAAGGAAAACATGAAGATGGAGATTGGACTGGTTGAGTACAGCATCCAGTGATTGGATTTGAGAAGATGATAATGAACAATCAGGTTTCTAAGAAAGACCATGCAACATGAGGTTACTTATAAAGTTATCTTGTTATTTGTAGACAATAATTGACATAAATTCATAAAAAAAACATACTGCCCACAAAAATAATCTGTGTGTAATGCAACAGACACTTGTTATCAATAATATTAGACTGGGTGCATTAAGTATCTAACAATTTTTCCACTGTTTACCCCATCTGCCACCCTTTTTAAGGTTTCCAATGAATCTGTCAGTTATTGAAATATTAGCATGTAAAATTGTGTTTCAAAAAATTTCAGACATGTTCTTTCTATGAATGGGATTGGTAACAATATATTTAGCACATACAAAAATCAGTGCACTATTTCATATGACATCACTGTTACTTATTTTTGGCTACATGTGTCTATTTTACACAGACCCAAAGTATCACTGTTAGTAACAACCAGACATTTACCCAAATGATAATAAGTTGTAAACATGACTTAACTATAATTTGTAATTAATGATACCAATTTAAATGAGATAAATTGACGATGTTATACTGTCAGAATGCATAGTGGTAATCCTCTGTAAACAAATGTGTTACCTGTAATAAGTGTTATTACACTCTTAACAAATATACAACAGAATGTCAATGAAAGGAGGTTTAGGGTGGATGATGCAGACTAGTATCTTACACCATATAATGTCAGTCTATTCATAATGAGTACATTAAATAGTTTTGTATCAAACTAATCTATATGAAATTTGTGTGCCATGTTATGGTCCTGAGATTAGTACCTTCAGTTGCCTCTGGTTACTCCAAGAAACCACTGCCAGATTTCTAATACAGATATTGTATTTAAGCATCCTGTTGCTTTACTACTTTTGCATACAAGAATACAGTTCCATCAATAATGCAACTATTTTTATTCTTATTGTAAAAGGGAAAGAATAAAAATAGTTTCATTGTTGACAGAACTGTATTACTGTATGTAAAGGCATGTCCACATTACTCATGCTCGTGCGACTTGCTATGCTTGCAAATAATGTGGATGATATGACAAGTCATGAGACAAGCAAATTTTAAATTTTTAATTTAAAAACTATAGCCAATAAATTAAAATATGACTACAGCCTGTACACACTACGAGTAAATATACGGATCCTCATGCGCTGAAGCCTGGCGAGCAATTGAAGTAGTGTGGATGAGATTTATGAGCACAAGTAAAAGCCAGATGAGTCTCCCGACAAGCACAAGCCTGGCGAGCATGAGCACGAGTAATGTGGACACACCTTTAAAGTTCTAATATAGAGTCTGTTGGTAAATATGGGCCTATATTTTTTCCAATCATGAGGGTATATAGATGTATATAAGGGTTAAAGATGCAGTTAAAGTTCCATTATAGTCACTTCAATAAAACATCTTATAAATAGATATGAAACAAGAAATCTGAGAAAAGCTAGTCACTATACATTCTATCAAATGCTTCAATCTATGGTTCAGGTCAGTAAAAACTATAAATTCATATAACAATTATATGTTTTAGTGACTCCACTGTTACTTATAGCTGCAATAATTTCCACTGATACCAATTATATTAAACTTCTCAAGTAGAGCTTCCTACTTTTAATTCCTTGCCACCAATAGTAGTAGATGGCAGTTCTACTTAATGTATAGCTCTGAAATTGTATAATAATAAATAAATGTTAAAAAATATGCAAGTTTGTTTAGTCTTTCATTTTGTAGAACATGGTAGCCATCTGAAATATATATTTAACTTCATGTTTTGAGGTAATAACTGTATATAAAACATGAAATTTAGTATAAATATGGATCATAATTTCATATACACAAAAACAGGTGTGTAATTATTGATTTATAATTCTTGCTAGCAACCCTGCACAGAACAAAATATTTAAAGGAAAGTAAACACTATACTTTCTTTCCAGAACGTCTTGTTTGACTGAAATTCTTATCGTGTGGTCTATTAAATATCTGATATGGCAGGGACTGCTCATTAACTATGAAAGATATTATTTTCTTACCATGTTTTGCAATTTCTTTCCTGTCAACCAATATGACACTGCTCTGAGGTGCTGTGAATTCATTTGTACCAGCTTCACAGTGTTCACCAATTTCATTATCTCCTTCAACAACATTATCTTCTTGACTGCTGGATGACTGACTAAACATGTCCAGTGAGTAGAGTGAACAGGGGACTATCTGCGTTGGATCCTCCAGTGACCCATTATCGTCTTCCATTGGAGGGGGTTCCATGTTAATAATAGGAGGAGGAGGGATGAATGCTGCTTAAATGATAAAATGATAATTACTATAATGTGGTAGTAAATGGAGGAGAGTTGGAAATGTTTTGGTGAAATTTCTGCTACAATGAAAATTTTGTAATTTTTGTGAACTGTAAAGTACATATAAAATAAGCGGAAATATACACTGTAATGAAGTACATATATTGTTCAAATGTCCTTTGTAACTGCCTTTGATGTTCATTTATTGCAAATAAAAATCCGCTGCTATGAAGTTATTCACAGTATACACATCGCACTATACATAATCAGAAATTAATTTTCCTTGAATTTCATTAAATATTTGTCATACGAGTACAAAGCACAATTAAAATAAACAACATTCTTCTTTTACATTATACATCTTTTATTCAGCAAGCCATCTTTGAGAAAATGTACAAAGAATGTTTTCAACTTTGTGTAGAATACTAGACCAACATGAACCAAATTCAAGCTTGCCCAGCAAATTTTGGTGTAGACCTCCAAATAATAAATGTGTCATTAACTAAAATAAATGAGTAGTTTCACAGATAAAGCTTTAACTGGATGGACAGATAGATGGACAGACATGAATTTCATATTATATGTACATTCTATGCATTTTATACAAAGAATACAATAACACAGAAAATTGTGAAGACAGATGTGTACATTATATTGCAGAGAGAGAAAGAGAGGGGAGGAGAAAGGCTAGGATTTCACCATTTTGACACCGTTATGCCACACTGGTTCTGTGAAATGCTAATAGTTAATGTGACAAATATTTTTTATCTCTTTACATTCCTAAACTATTCTGATTAAATCTGAAATATTTAATCTACTTTACAAGCTATCAAATAAATTATGTTTGATTAATCCCTTTTAAATATAAATCTCAATATTCTGTTATATTACACTTTAATTAAGTTTATATATTCTTGTATTTTTATACCTCCATACTGAAAAAAAAAACTATTCTAGACTGTATGCATTTCCGTTAAAGAAAAAGCACACTGAACATTGCTTTATTTCCTATCTAAATGATAATCACTGATATAGAATTAATTAGTAATCATCTTACCTGGCAATGTTTTGAGTTTTTGTGATCTAAAATGAGATATTTCATAGAAATGCTGCAGAGTTGCATGAGGTGAGGATTGTCCTGAGCTTAGACGGTTGTAGAGGCATACTTTTGGCACATACAAACATAGCAAGAGGACTTTTGCAGCCAGCAGATGTGCAACAGCTGATGCCAAATCAGAGTGACTAGGTGAGATCATTGTCACTGTTACGATTCCCCAAAAAGTAAACACTGCGGCTACTACAATTGATGCCAAGAGAATCCAGCGTGCTTCATAACACAAATGGTCCTCATCAGCCACATCAAGTTTAGAGCTAGATAAAGAGAATTACAGCAGATATGTAATATAATCCGAAATTTGGTTAACTCTCTGCAGACCCCTTTAAATGTCACCCTACCCAACTTTTCAACTATATTTAAGTGGCACTAAGTCACTGCTGAAGTATTTTACTCAAAATCTTAATTGTATATCTTAAGTGATGTATATCAATAAATAAAATGCATTATTTGTTCAGAGAAATCCAACAGAAGAATACACAGTTGTAATCTGTTGATGTTAACAACCTTTTTATTATATCCGTCACAACACAACTAATATCAAGATCAGACCATTTTTGGCCCTGCTACATGTTTTGGCTATTGATAGCCATCATCAGGCAAACACATGATTTACACACATATACACACTACTGAACCACAGCACCAACAAGATTGGATACAATATTATTAAAATATATAAAACACTTGATGCAAAAAATACAAAAATCAAGTTATATAAAACAGAAGTATGATATAAAATGAGAATAAAATTCTTTTGGTGTTTTTACATCAATGTGTCAGTCGTTGGTTTGTGATTTATTTTGTTCCCATGGACAAGTTGGAATATTCATACTTATGCGTATATAAAATTGTGTATGAGGCTCGTAATGTAGATGTAATAAAGTAAATTATAATCTGAAAATGATATGAAAGTAATATTATTAAATTTTATAATCAACAACTGATATTGGTATTGAAGATATAGAGCATATAACATATCTTTCTTACACTGTGAGATGAGGCACTGACTAATGTAACTAGTAATACACTCTATATGCTCTATATCTTCAATATCAATATCAGTTGTTGACTATAAAATTTAATAATATTACTTTCATATCATTTTCAGATTATAATTTACTTTGCTACATCTACATTACGAGCCTCATACACAATTTTATATACGCATAAGCATGAATATTCCAACTTGTCCATGAGAATGAAACAAAAAACAAATCACAAACCAACGACTGACACGTTGATGTAAAAACACCAAAAGAATTTTATTCTCATTTTATATCATACTTCTGTTTTATATAACTTGATTTTTGTATTTTTTACATCAAATGGTTTATATATTTTAATAATATTGTATCCAATCTTGTTGGTGCTATGGTTCAGTAGTGTGTATATGTGTGTAAATCATGTGTTTGTCTGATGATGGCTATCAATAGCTGAAACATGTAGCAGGGCTGAAAATGGTCTGATCTTGATATTAGTTGTGTTGTGATAGATATAATAAAAAGGTTGTATATTGTAACACAACAGGATGCATGAAATGGAAATGTTGATGTTAAGATGATACACTAGCACAAATTAAGCACAAACTTAAAAACACCTTTGAGATGTGGTACAGTTCTTTAGATGGAATGGCCACATCTCAGAAATTACTTAGCAATTATTTGACAATGGGTTGTAAGATACTATAATGAGGCCATGGAAAGAAGTCCCTCTTCTACATCTCATTCAATTTGCTATGCTTCCCTCCTGTATACTTTTCTATAGTCAACCTCCAGTTGTCAGCCATTTTGTTCACATAAAGGTTAATAGTGATAACCATGTCATAACTTTCATTACTGACAAGGGCTTCAGGCTGGCTGGCAAGTGTAAGAGGGGGCTGGAAGGAAAGATAAAATTAGCAGAAAAGAGGAAGAATTTTGTGTCATCCCCACCATCCATCTTCATTTAAACCTTCTATTCTGCGCCTGGAGGTAGAAATATAAGAACAGTATAAGACAGCAGAGATTGTTTTTTAGTTGTAAGATTGTGGTGGGACTAAATTCCATGGTCCTGTGGCTTACAATGGGGCTATCATAACATATCCTGCTGGTAGGTAAATATAGAGCATTGGTAGATAATAATTGGTAGGGTAAGACTGAAGTACTCTGAGAAAAGTACACCCTTGTGTCAACCAACAATCTAAGATATGTCATGGCCTATAGACACTGCTCCTGTACCTGGCACACAAGTTAGTTTAAAACTACTAGATCTTCCATTTTAACATTAATTTTAAACCTTCTGTTTGGAGTTTGAAGCTGGCAAAAAAATTATATAAGGCAAGACAGTTACTGTAGTTAATAAAAAGGGTCAGTTTCAGCTGTGTGCTTCATGATAAGATTCAGTAAAATGAAATGACCCCTGCAGCACTTATCATACTAACACAGTCAATGAACGTGTAACAAAGCAAATATGGATACATACTGTCATTTGAAATTGCATGAAAGCTTGGTATATTTTCAAGGATCCTTTATACAATCTACATTTCATTTACATAATCAAGACACTCACCCAGAACAACACAGGAGTGCCACAGTTGCTGTTGCAGTAACAAGCAATATTACATAGACCATAGACAGAAGCAGATGTGACTCAAAATGTCCACTTGGATAGCAACGCCAAAGTGATGTATCCTTAGAAGCAAGCATGTAGATTTGTGGGGGAAGCAAGATCAGCCAGCTCCCTGTTAGCAGCACCTGTATCATCATCAATGCTAGGGCCACTGTAAGCAGTCCAGTTGGGACAGTCAACATATTTATCAATGGCTCTGCACTGTTGTTGAGCTGCCATGTTGTAAAAACCTGCATGGGCACACATCAACTGGTCACTCTCCTACCATCCCTTCAACTAACTAACTAAATCTAATAGCAGAACCTGAAGTTTAAATTCTACTACTGCAAAACTTAATATGATCCTGAGTCAGTTCAATTAATCTTTCATCCTCACATAATTACTTCCCCAAAATTCATTTTAGCATGATTCTCATATTTCTTTGGCCTTCTATGTGGGTACTCTCCAAGAAGTTTTCCCACTAGTGTTTGGAGAAAAATTTATCATAAAACCACTCTGTTGACCACAAATCCCACATGGTATGCCCCAGGACTGAACCCAGGCCTCTGCAGTGAAATTCTGGCATTTAACCATGTGAATTATAGCATGGCACTAATTCTGGATAAACTATGCCATTATAAGATATTCTTCTATAAAATAAGGTATGAATGTATGAGGGGTGGGCCTTCTTGGCCCTTGCACTGTGACCTACAGTGGTCTATTGTGCTTATAAAATAAGGTAAGTTAATTTCAGTGTAAAAGCGGGCCATTGATTATTGGCTATACTGGCAGGTCTGCAAGAAGAGTGCTGTGTCAGTTGTACAAGGTGTGATAATTTAATTCCCAGAATGGCCGTAAAGTGTTGCTGGGGTGTTGAGTCAGGCAAACTCATGTACCCAGTCAGGTTTGGACATGATCCAACTTGCATTTACATGAACCACAGATCAAATGAGTCGTTTTTTCCCAAGCAGCAGAGGAAGTAGCACGTGTCCATGGTATACTGTTGGTGGAAGAATAAGTGACAAGAATCTGGAGCAGTGGGTAAACATCAAGTTTTGTGTGAAGATTGGTAAAAGTGCTAGTGAAACGTTAGCCCTATTAACAGTGGCCAATGGTGAGTATGCTATGAAGATATTGACTGTTTCTGAATGGCATAGGCAGTTCAAGGAAAGTCAAGAAAATGTGCAAGATGATCCAAGAAGTGGGCAGCCAAAAACGCAAAGGACAGATGTAAATGTGGACAGAGTATGAACCTTGGTGTGCTCAGACTGAAGATTAGGAGTGAGACTAACAGCAGAACTGAATATGAATAGGGACACAGTGCAACAGATTATTATGAAAGGTTTGGGAATGAGAACAATTTCCACAAAGAAGGTGCCATGTATCTTGACAGATGGGCAGAAACAACATCTGCTTCACATTTCAGCTGATCTTTTACAAAATGCAGAGATGTTTGATAGGGTTATTACCGATGATGAGATGTGGTGTTTTCAATATGACCTGGAAGAAAACACCAGAACGTGCAGTGGAAAACATAGAATTCACCTCGGTCGAAAATAGGATGCATGTCTCGCTCGCAGTTCAATGTTTCTTCGATCACAAGGGGATAGTTCATTGTGATTTCATTGCAAAAGGACAAATAGTAAATCAACACTCTTATTTTGAAGTACTGACAAGCTTACAGGAATCTATTTGGACCAAACTCTGGCCTGACAAGTGGATTTTCTACCATGACAATGCCTCTGCACATGATGTGTTATGAACTTGTGAGTTCCTGGCTAAAAAATCCATTACAAAAATAGACCATCCACCTCATTCACCCAACTTAGCCCCTGCAATTTTTAGCTCCTAACATACAACACATGAGAAACTTACTGCAAGGTATTCCAGAAAATGATTTTCAAAACTATTTCTGGCAGTGGTGCCATCATCTCCTGAAGTGCATGGCTTCACAAGGAGAACATTTTGAAGGCAGCAGCAGCTGCTAGTGCACAGGTCAGCAAATTTTGCTTTTGCAGGGCCATTCCAGGAATTAAATAGTCACACCTTGTAGAGACCAGTCTAGGGATAACCCATTCTCCCTGTACATAATCAAGCAACTCTGTAAGTTTAATCTCTTAACCTGTGGACATGATAGTAGCATTTTGTGCACTGAAATGTATTGGAATTATTATATGTACACTTATTAGATAATAGCCAGATCTTTCCAAATTTATTTTTTGCAGTCATCCTTGCATTTGGGGATAAGAGAACTTCTGCAGTTTCAGAAGTTGTATTAAATAAACCAAGAAACTACATACAATGTAGAGGATGAAGAGTTCTACCTTCTGGGATATTTAAAGTCAACTGACATTTTGAAGGGGCATGTCAAGTCCATCTTTAGGGTAAAAGAATAAGTGAAATAAAAAGCCAGCATGCTTTACTTGTCACTTGTTTTCAAGCTGGTTTCTTGCTTGGCTTATACTCTGACCCTGAGGATGAAGGCAACCATGTTCCTTTGAAATGCCAGTTTATGTTCAAGAGGCTACATGGCCCTATATCCCATAAGATAGAACTCTTCATAACCACTGCTATGAGAACCTCATACCCTGCGAAGTGGAGGATGTTTTGTGGAAGCAGATGACCGAAGTCCACAGGGATGTGAAGTTGACAATTCCTCTCAGTTTATTGTAAAACTTAAAATGCACTGACTTTTTAACTCGTGATACCCTTCATCCCATCACAGTAGAATACAACAGTATCAGCAGTACATTTGGTTTAAAAGAATATCGCAATGAAATGATTGAATTCTTAGGTATAAATAAGGTCATCTTTTAAAGGTACTATGGCAGTGAACAAACTCTTTTGATTGGCCAGCAAAATAAACCTTTATCTTTATGTTATATGTGATAACCTTTAAATGTCAAACTTAATTGGTCATTAAGGATATATCAGAACTCAAGTAACACTAATAGCATGAGTAAATAATTAAATAAGATTGTTTGATAACAGCATTTTACCTTCAGCAACATTCCAGCAAAGATCACAGTGTAAGCAAATCCTGGCAGAAATCTGCGTGCACCACATGTAGCTTCTGTTGGTGTCAATACAAAACTCAAATTTGCAGTGAATAAGAGAAGCAGACCCAATAGAATAAGGTAACCAAGCACTGACGTTCCCCCACACATGTTGTTTTTGGGCAATGCTGCCGCAGCTAGGAAATATAATGCAGTAAGTATAGTTAGGAATGCTCCAAATAGAGATAATCCTCCTAGGGCTGCTGCCCAGGGATAGTGGTGGGTCTCATATAATACTGAATGGTGGTTCCTAGAGAAATATCCATCATTCTGATCACAAACTGTACAGTTAATCCCAGTGCAATATGACTGATAATTCTGGAAGTACTCAGTATTTGAGATAATTAATCCAATTCCTTGCTCCCAAGTTGCAATGTGCTGTGTTCCTGACCACAAGCTAAACATGTTAGAACGATGTTTCTTCATTGCTGGGGGGAGACGAAGTACTTCCGCTTGCACGAAGTCCCTAATTGCGAGAATAATATTTGTTCTGTTTAATGCGAAGCACTCAGGGAAATCATTTGTTTCGAAATGACATCCACAGTGATGACTGAAGAACTGGTGAAGTCTGCTTGAAGTGGTCCATATGGAATTAATAGTTTCCTGAATACTTGATGTAAAATCAATTGTTGAAAATAACTGCTGAATTCTATGGCTTATATTGTCTTGCCTGTAGAGTGTTTGGAATTCACGTAACCATGTGGCTGGAAAAGGGACTGATTTTGTATCTTTGTATGAAAGAATGTTAGAAATCAACCATTCTTGAAATTCTGTTGTGGCCCCAGGGATGGTCTCTTCAAATTCCAGAACCTGATGTAAGGTGAATATGGTATGACCTGTAATGTTTACAAAAGATATATTGAATAATATGTGCATACCAGAATTAATTACCAAATTCCAAATATATGTGGCATTATGCAATGGACATGGAAATTCTTAGTGTAATATATATATTTGTTCCAGCTAGTGCTTGAGGAGGAATGAAAATAGAACCGGGATGGTTTTCCCAAAAAAGGTATTGTACATTGCATTTACTGCCAAAGAAGTTAACGGGATGCTTTTAAGCCATTTAGACAAGAACCGGGATGCCATCCTGCCGCATTCTGCCCCACCTCAAGCCCTGGTTCCAGCTCATAAATGTGATTACTTCTTAAGCAAGCAGTGTCTTCAAATTATGTCTCTTCCATCTAACAAGAGAAGAAAGGTGAACGCCAGTTTGAAGTTCACACACTCCCCAGATTTATTTCTTGTGATTTGTTTTAACTGACTGTCCTTGGTATAAATACAAATCTAAATGGTGAACAGCTAATCATACTACAGGTAAAAAACTGCAGTTGGTCATAAGATTATTCAGTTTTCTTTACACATCATTAAATGTACATGATACATGGAACATTGTACAAAAAGAAACTTCACACAAGAGTTGTAGACCTGAAGGGGATGTATAAAAGGTATATCAGAAAGTTCCTGGACTGTTATTGTTGTAACTGCCTTGGTGAAAGGAGATAAGAGGGGAGACCAAGGTCACATTTCCACAAGCCTATTGTATCAGTCTACCATGTGACACCGTGCTGTGAACATACATTATTTTCACATGAGTGCATTCTTGGCTTCATGTTTCATTTTGGCTGTGATGGATGGCAAAATTGAGCAATGCGTCTGCATCAAGCTTTGCGTGAAGCTCAGTAAATATGCTACCAAAACCATTTAAAAGCTTCATGAGACTTTTGGAGAACATTCTTTAAGCTGGACAGCGGTTTGAATGGCATTCACATTTCAAGGCCGGTCCACTGTCAGTTGATGATGACGAATGTTCAGGGCGATCAACCACCAGCAAAACAACATAAGATGTTGAAAAAAATCGAAAATTCATCCACGAAGACCATCATCGAACAATCCATGAGCTTGCAGATACCGCTGGGATCAGTTAGGGAGTTTGCCAGATCTTGACAGAAAATTTGAATTTGCGCTGCAATGCCGCGAAGTCTATTCCCCAACTCCTGACAAACGATGAAAAGCAGCGGCGTGTAAACGCGTGTCTTGAGCTACAAGAGAAGGCTAATGAGGACCCAACTTTTATCTCTAGAATCATGCTTGTAATAGGTGATGAAAGTTGGATTTACAATTATGATCCAGAAACAAAGCAGGAATCGTCAAAGTGGAAGGGCCCCCAATAACCAAGAGCAAAAAAGGAGCAGCTGGTCCAGACTTCAACAAAGAGCATGATCATTGTTTGTTTGTTTGTTTGTTTGTTTGTGTGTGTGTTTTTTTTTTTGCTGTGAAGGTGATTGTTCACATGAATTTGTTCCTCCTAACACTATGGTCAACTCTGACGTTTACTGTGATGTTTGAGACGCTTGAGAGAAAATGTGTGATGAAGGAGACTGGAACTTTGGTGCGACCACAACTGGTTCCTTCATCATGACAATGCACCTGCCCGCAAGTCCCTGAAAACGACAGAGTTTGTGACTAATAACAACATGGTTATTTTTCCCCATCCTCCCTACTCACTTGACTTAGCCCCTGTGATTTCGCTTTGTTTCCCAAATTGAAAATGAACCCGATGGGATGCCATTTTGAAACAGTGTCTGACATCCAAAGGGAATTGCAAGTGGTACTCAATAGCATTAATGAAAATGACTTCCATGGTGCTTTTGAAACCCGGAAAAGAACGACGGGATCGCTGTATACATTCCCAAGGAGATAACTTTGAAAGAGATGGCACCGAAAATTGAGTAAGTTAAGCCAGCATTTCTTTATAGTCCAGGAACTTTCTGATAGCAGCTTGTACTTTATAATACTATATACAAATATTATTTTCAAGGAGTAAACGTTTGATTATAAGCTTCATGTAAGGTAGGGGTCACAGTAAAACCCCCATTTAATGTTCTTCCATTTCAGAATTTAACAATTCAGTTTCAATGATCCCAAGCCAATAATCTCAGTGTTGTAAGATCTGAAGCCTTCATGGTAGCTAGTGTTCAAATTCATTATTCCCAAGAGAAACCTTAAATGGAGGTATCGCTGTATGTTTGACTGATAGTGATCAAAATAAATTCTTGTGATTACCTGCATAAGGATTTATGTTCCAGTGTTCAAGAACTGTTAGAAAAACCAGTCCACTGGTATATCGACAAACTTCCAAAAATGCCCTTATTTCTTCAGGGTCTTCAAGAAGAAGGACTGCCATGGTACCAGGTCTTAAAGTCTTAATAATATCATCTGTAACCATTAGCTTAGTGGAACTGATGGCTCCTATTAGCGCTTCAGTATTCTTGCTATGTAATGCATAGATACCAGCAAGGCAAAGTGAATCAGTGTGTTGCTGTGAGTAATTCTGCAACTGCTGGTTTAGCAGTTCAGCCCAAGCTTCTCTCCCATGTATCACTACTATGGAATGTGAACGGGTGGCCCGCACAACGGACATCATTGCTTGGATCAGATTTTCTCTCAACAGCGATGATTCCTGAAACAGTAATGTTAATGCATTTTAGGAGTTGTTATAGAGTAAAACAGTGAAGCCATATACATCAAGGCAAAGGGGGTGGGGTTTGAGATTCATTCCCACATATGCTTAACCTCAACACTAGATGGAGGTGAGTGATCAGCTTCATGCTCAGCTGCTTTACCTCCCAGAACCGGCCTGGTAAATTCTGTCTTTCTGCAGACAAAACCCCAGTCATCCATTTCATCACCAAATATTTTACACAAGTTGGCAACATTGCCATAAGTCTGCATTAATGATATTTAATACAGAACAGAGTCATAATGGATTGTCCTTGGTAAAGATTTCCAACACTTGAGATAGAAAATAACAAGATGTGCAATAAATTTTCCCTCTTCACAATTTTCTGGATGCCAAATAACAAAGATCTACTACAGCCAGGACTTTTTGGACACTTGAATTTCGAGCTTTACCCATTCTTAAGATAAATGCTGTATAGTAATATTTTTATAAATAATACCGAATAAGTTCTTCTGAGGCCAAGTTACTTATTGACAGCAGGTTCATAATAAAGCATTAACTTCCTGGGCCTGTAACATTTATGCTGTTCACCGTTCACTTCATGGTTCTTGTCAGATGTTCTCAGATTTCTTAAAAGGTGGCAGGGACTAGGGCTTGGCTGCAACAGATGAACGGTGTTTTCTACATGGCCCATTCTGAGATAAGGCAGGAAAAGTGAGGAGTGATTTAATGAAGAGCCAATCAAGTTCAGTTGAATTGTGTTGAGTTAATTGATTGGTAGGTGACTGAATTGTCAGTCAATGAGAGGACTGCTGAGGTTTAGTCATGAGTTGTTGCTGTAAGAAGCTGGCAGCTAAGGCTGGGGTAATTCAGGAACCTGGAGGAAGGGGAACGTCCGCGTTTGGAAGCCGCTGCCGAGCAACAATTAGTAAAGACGTGACTGTGGACACTAGTTTGTATGTCTGTGTTGTGTGTGTAATAGTGAACTGTAATGTATACTTACGTGCTGTATCAAAGAGTCCAATAAATCTGATCCAAAACCTGTCTGTAGTCATTCAATCACGTGACAATATTTTGGATTAAACAAAAATTTGGACAAATGCATGACATGGGGGGAGGGGGGGGCAGAGGACAAGAAATGTGGAAAAGATAAAATTTAATAATTATGAAACAAAGAATGTGGACTAGCTGGAGAGACCAAGTGAGTGAAGATATGCAATGAAAGCATAGAAAATTGAACACAGATTCAGGAGACAAATAAGCATAAATAAAAGAGGATGGAAAAGTCCTTGACATAAGATGACCCATTACACTGGAAAAGTTAATGGGTGATGAGGATTATTCAACGTTACTTGGCCTACTTTCATATGAGACTTTTGAAGACATGGCTCACCTCACTTGTTTCGGAAGACAACTCTATTCGTTGAGTTGCAAATGCTTCTACAGGCACTACCAATGGAGCAATGTTTTGTGCTTGCAGTAAAGGTGTGACTGCTTCTGCAGCTGCTGAGTCTAATATAACAGCAGCCACAACATCTTTTGGTCTTGTCTGGATTTCCACACCTGTTAATTACACAACATGCTGCCCCAGTATATGTAGTAAAGGTCTTGAATACATACATACAATGAATTGAAAATTAGTAAAAAATGACCTAAGATGTGGAATGAATCATAAAAACTTAAAAACATGTAAATACAATACAAATTAATTTTTCACATATAAAAACAAAATTGAAAATACACAGAGGGTTCATATAAGGTTTTCAGATGCTTAAAATGGATCCATATATACGATGTGGGGATATCCCACATTATCACGCATTTTCTGCAACGCACACTCTTCACATCACTTTTCACCATCATGCGTGCTAACCAATCAAATTGCTCCAAACGTTCGTATTTATACTGCGCTCACTGCTAGCCCCCATCTACATCATCAAGCATGCTAGCCAATCAGCGCCCTGAAAATTCTTCCTCCTCAATTTCAAGTTTCGCTCCGCCCACCGAGCAGTGTATAAAAACGAGCAGCCGCGAACCGGCAGCATCAGTCTGACTCCAGCCTTCAGTCTTCGATCAAGCTACATCAGCCAGCACACTTCGTCGCCAGCGCTCGGTCTTCGGAGGCATCGGCAGGCTACACCAGGCACGACTGCCTCGGCCCTCCAGCGCTCTCACACCCGACTCACTGGGGCACCGCGCCTGGACTCGCCGGTGGTCGTGTTACTGTCCGACCCACTGGGCATCTGGCGTAGCCACTGCCTCATTACCTCTACGACCGCGCTCAACGACTAGCCTTTCACCAGCAGCCGCCGCGCTGCGATCAAGCAACCTCCAACTCAAGCTGCCGCACGGCAACCAAGCAACCTCAAGCAACGGCCGCACTGCGGCCAGTCCACTCACTGCAACTAACCTCTCTCCCTACCGGCGTGCGCCGCGCTACCTCACCGTTCAAGCATCTCAGCAACCATGGTCCTTTTCAGGACCAACAAACTGTTCCAAAGAAGTGGGTTGTCATTGGAGTAATGACAAAACTACATAAAACCCCACATCATCAATACTTTCCACTTATGCTATTTACATAAACCTTGGAGTAGATTATGAATCATTTTCAGATAAAAGGAATTCATCAACATAGTAGAATGAGTGTGTATTTAAGTATCTTTTGTGCTGCTATAAATCTTGCCTTTTCTGCCATATGACTTCTGATACTAGTTGGTAGATTGCTGAAAATTTGATATCTGCAGGAAATATTTAGTTCACAATGCTGAAATTTCTGAGTAAAGTGAGGTGATGAAAATAAGTTCACCTTGTTCTACTATATCTAATTTTGTTTCAGTTTCTTAATAAATTATATTATTGTAATTATAACACTTATTTAAGCAAACTTTTCCAAAGTTACCACATCATTCAGTCTCATGCTAGGTGACACCTTCAAGTGCATTCAATTTCCATGCATAACTATTACAATACATCCCTGTACTATCTGTATGTACCTGCTGTCATTGCTTTAAGAGCTTCTCTTGGTAACGATAAAAAGTTATAGATGGAATTATAAGCACGCGAAGGCCTTGAGCAGCTATCAAAGACGATGAGTCCTAGTTCAATTCCTGGTAATAATAAAGAGTTGTAGTTGACCAGACTCAGGGCATAGTGTAGGGCTGCTATGTGCAGCATGGCTGTTGGATGAAGTCTGCCACAACTGTAGTGTCCAGCTCCCTGTTGATGGACAGGAGCTACTCCAAGAAGAGCCAACATAAATTTGTTGTTTCCTGAAGTGCTGCCAATCTATTCCAAATAAATCATACAGAATCCATAAATAATTGCTGCATAACATCCTTTAGAAACATAATTTACTCCATAGGGTAGGATCCTTCTTAAGAAGCTGATAGTTACTGAGTTTCTCAAGAAATACTTTTTATTTATTGGAACTTGAAGTTTCTGCACCATGTTTATAAAAGATGTTCCGTGAGCGATATCCTGGGCCAGTTGAGACCACTGCAGACCTGCAAACCCTGTTTCTTTAACCTTTAAACGACTAAAGACAACGTATGTCGTCGTTAAAAGAATGTCCCCGGTACGAATGACGACATATGATGTCGCAGAGTCCGCGCGTGGCAACGTTATATAAAATTAAATTTTAAAGTAGAAAATTATGTCCTACTTACATAATTTTTGGCCACCATCTGCANAACAGTTAGGAAAATCTTAACTGAAGATCTTGAGGAAGTTGTGTGCAAAAATGGTCCCAAAGGGCCTGCTCACACAGCACTATCTGTGAGGGAGTTTATAGCTAGTAAACAAATAATTGTGTTGGAACACCTTCCATATTCACCAGATCTAGCCCCCAGTGATCTTTTTCTCTTCCAGAAGACAATGGAAATATAGAAAGTAAGGCATTTTGATGACATTCATGACATCAGGAGTAATACAGTGGCAGCTCTCAAGGTCATTCTACAAAACCAGTTCCAAAATTGTTTTGAAGGATGGACTAGGTGCTGATATCGGTGCATAGCTTCCTAAGGGGAGTACTTTGAAGGAGACCAGAGTGTTATTCAGCAATGAGGTATGTAGTACTTTTACTGTGATCAGTTCTTGAACTTTAGTGTCAGACCATGCATAATCTTCCTCATACATGTTATGTCCTGCCCATTTCATTCTTCTTGATTTAAGCACTCTAACAATATTAGTCAAAGAGTACAATTTATGAAGCTGTTCAATGTTTGATTTGAAAAATATTCTACTTTCTTACATTTATGTATTCTTCTCAAATATTTTCCATTCTTTGCTCTAAATTCTGAATGAGAAAAGTAAAAAGCAGAAGTACCAATTTTTTATAGAAACTTTTAAAAATCTTTAGAAGAAACTTGAAAAACTTTATTAAAATCATCTATACCGTAGCAATTCCTATGTACAGAAATCACATCAGTATTTTCTGCAGTGGTTAATACAGTGACTATTAGAAAAATTCAGGTTAAATAACTTACCTCTAAAACATGAGGTATTCCAGTGCTTGAAACATTAGTGCCTTGACACTGAGAACGCGGCATCTGAGAAGATATCTCTGTCCTGTTATCATGCATATACGACTTCATCTTTGTGAGATCCAGTTGAATCTTTCCTGTGGCACTTATATAACCTATAGAAACTGGTTTTCCTTTATTTCCAGCAAGGTGAACATTCAACACCTAAAAGAGTATCATGTGATTGTAACAGGAAATAAAGCTCAACCAGGAGAGCATTTCAAAACTTAGGAAGTTAGAGATAATTATAAGCATTGTAGTTGGTNCAGAAACTGGTTTTCCTTTATTTCCAGCAAGGTGAACATTCAGCACCTAAAAGAGTATCATGTTATTGTAACAGGAAATAAAGCTCAACCAGGAGAGCATTCAAAACTTAGGAAGTTAGAGATAATTATAAGCATTGTAGTTGGTCTAATATAAATATCCTATAAAGAAACTAACCGCATGGGGCATAGTCCTTCTTGAGAAGCTGACATCTGCTCAGTTGTTAAAAAAATCCATCTTCTGTGCAGCCAGAAGATTCATTACCATGTTCACAAGAGACCTCCCCTGCACTCTATCTTGAACCAGGTGAATCCAGCCCACACCCTCACATTTTATTTCCTTCAGATGCAGTTTACTATTGTTCTTCCATCTATACATACAAGGTCCGTATAAAAAGTATCGGGAAAAGTTCCGGGAAAATAGATTTATTTCAGATATTGCTACAATGCCTCAAAATTCTTCAAAATACATCCCTTGTGCATCGATACACTTTTGCCAACGGCGTTGCCAAGACACGAAGGCTCCCTGGTAGGCGGATTCGGGAAGGTCCTTAAGGGTCCGTGTGCAAGCCTCTTTGATGGCACTCAGGGTCCCATGATGGTGCCCTTTGAGGGAGGATTTCACTTTCGGGAACAGGAAAAAGTCTGCTGGTGCCAAGTCGGGACTGTAGGGGGGTTGGGGTACCGTCGCGATGCCGTTTTTTGTCAGGTAGTCGGTCACCTTCGGGACGAGTTTCGCGCAGAACTTTCGCATCGCCAAATCTTCAGTGATAATGGTGTGTACCGTCATCTTATCAATGCCAACACGATCTGCAATCATGCGCACACTTAACCGACGGTCTGAATTGAGTACGTCATGCACACGTTGCACATTGTCGTCGGTTCTTGACGTCGACTGCCGTCCACCGCGGGGCTCATGCTACACACTCTGTCGGCCACTTTTGAAGAGCTTGTGCTACTTAAAAACTGCAGTTTGTGACATACTTTCATCCTTGATCACTTGGCGAATCATGCCCAACGTCTCCGTACCCGATTTCCCCAGTCCAACACACGCGGCTTACACGCGGACCCTTAAGGACCTTCTGGAATCCGCCTACCAGGGAGCCTTCGTGTCGTGGCAACGCCGTTGGCAAAAGTGTATCGATGCACAAGGGATGTATTTTGAAGAATTTTGAGGCATTGTAGCAATATCTGAAATAAATCTATTTTCCCGGAACTTTTCCCGATACTTTTTATACGGACCTTGTATGTCTCACAAGTCCTCTGACCAAAATTCTGTTTGCATTTCTCATATATGTTATGCATACTACACACCTTTTTAAGGAACAAGTAATCGATTTCATATGGTGATCTGTAGTTGTGGACACTTCCACGGATGGTGTCAACTGAGAATAATTGTGAAAGCAGCAAACATAACTTATTTTTTTGTTAACTATTTTAATAAATATTACCAAAATTAGATAGTACTAAAAGGTAGAAGCATAGTTAGCATTACTCTAATATACCTTATTTCATGAACTTGAGAAAATGACACACTTTGTGGTCATTAAAAAGATAAAATGATAAAAAGTGTTTCCTGTGTTGAGCACAACTCCACAAAGGCATAAGGAGAAGAGAGTGATGGCCGATGTACTCATCATAAGTTTTTAGAGTGTAGAAAACAGTTTTTGAGAAAAGAGCAACACTAGCACTATGCTTTGTAGTAATAAGATTTCAGATGGCGGGTGAGATTTCATAAGAGCTGTGGAATAAAATTTTCAATAAGCAATCTTACTTTACCTCAATATCGGCATGTGAATTTTCTCCAGAACTAGAAAATGCCACAGCATTAAGACCAACACCAACGAATGCCATATGCGGTGCCACTTCAAATAGGCGTCTGCGGACCCTAGCAGTATCCTGCATTCCTTCACATATGCTGTCATCTGAAAATTAGTATCATAAAAATAACACTTCTGCAAGTCAATGACTTCAGAAAGATAACCTGATTTTATTGGTTACGTTACACATAATTCTTTGGTCTATTATAATATATGAGATGAGGGGGGATATTTACAAGATTTTATATCAGTGAACTGAAGTTCTTCAACAGAATAAATACATTTCTGTCATAATTAGAAGAAGAAATCAAACTGTTTCATACTAATCACACGAAGAGTGGTTTGTCACAAAGGAAATGATGTTCTCATATGGGCTATGGCTTGTAATACAAAGGGTGCCATGTGAGTAGTCATAGAGGAAAGAATGCACTCTAGCACAGATACAAGAAAGTGGAATAAAAGCTGGTCCATTTCTGATACAATCTGGCACCATACAACACATATGCTAGCAACAGAAACAGACACATCCTCCATATAAAAAGAATTTAAGAAGCACTCTATGGATAATGTGTGATGAATAAATAATGGACATATATTAACATGCGTGGTTTTAATTTCCTAGGAAATCTAAAGCTAACGTTCATACAAATAATCAAGATACGACTTAGTGGTCTACTATAACGAAATACAAGATGTAGAACAGGAGAGAAAACTTTTGTTGTTGTGACACTCTTCCAGTACTAGATAAACTTGTGTCNCAGGTCTACTATAACGAAATACAAGATGTGGAACAGGAGAGAAAATGGAAGAATGAATTTAAATGTACTACTACTTTTGTTGTTGTGACACTCTTCCAGTACTAGATAAACTTGTGTCAAAGAAATAGTTATCAAATATCACACTCCCTCTAACTAACTAATTCCATGGAGCAGAGTTCTTTTTGAGACATTAACAGAAATTCTTTAACATTTGTGGAATCTAAGGTTTATTACTGTGTTCGCAACAGCACACCTTATTACTAAATCCTTCCTATTAGTTATAACCAGTGGCAGAGCATGACTTTTTCAAAAGTGTTAGCTAAATCATGAGGCAGAGGAAGGTAGTGAAAGTTTTGGCAGTTGAGTAAATATGTTGTACAAGACAGCAGCATTTGTTAACAATGGTGTCTGTTTGCACTGTTCATCAACACTTTGTAACGTAATATGTATTAAGTAGTACAGTCAACTCTCGATTATCCGGAGGCGGATTAACCGGGGCTACTGAGGCTTTTTTGAGGCTTATGTTGTTTAATATTCATTCACTTTTGTTTCACATGGTGAGTTGTAACACGATTTTCACACTAGTGTGAACTGAGCTCTGCATTTTTTGGTCCCGTTATGCTAACACAATGTTCTAGGGTAGGGCTGAAAGAATGCAAGGATTTGTGGAAAGTTTCAAGGACAGATACACCGCCCCAGTTAGTTTCTTTGTATCGATCTTCAAGTGCGTTAGCAAAATGTCAGGGTGTAAAAGGAAGCGTGTTGTGTTAAGTATTCAACAGAAAAAGGAAAATGCCGCGAAAAAGTAAACGACAATATTAAATTTTGTTAAGTGTTAAGTGTGAATATTCGTAAAAAGTGTTGGATGTTGTTGAAGACTGTGATTGAAATAACTAATTCATACTTCAGTGTAATGTAAAAAAAGTATTAAATAGGCCATGAGATGACATAAAAATGAGGTTGAATAAATTTAAATACAGGTAGGCCTATAGTATTATGAAGGTACAGTATTACAGTACTACTTTTAATAAAATTTGTCTTAACCGGGTTTTCGATTAATCGTGATTTCCATCCCCACCATTATCCCGGATAATCGAGAGTTGACTGTAGTAACTTTTATTAAATTTTCCATCAGGTGAAATATTCCCAGACTGAAAATATAAATATAAATATAAAACATAGATCTTTCTCTCTCTCAGCATCCACAAGATGCCACTGTTACTAGTGTTTAGAACAAACAGCTGAAAAACAGAAAAAAAAAAGCAGCAGCCATAATATATGTATTTATGTTTTCAGCAATGAAGCTTACCTGAACAAAGTTCTCTTCTCACAGTCCCCAAAGCATGGGAAATAGCAAGAACAGAGTTAATGGTATTTACTATCAAAGGACTCTGAAAGTAAAAATAAGTCATATTTCACATCACCATTTCCACACCCTATGAAATTGTTTTCTGTATGGATTTATGGAAAATGAATGAATAAAAATATATGATGAACTGATTCTCCTCATTTCAACTTCAATCTACTCAAGTTTGACAACTACAAAATATAATAATGTTAATGGCATGCTTTCAAGACGCAACAAATTTAATGTCAGAGGGTGCACTATGCAGTGTTAAATAGTAATACAAATTGAATTATATGGATGATAAATATACCAAAATTACCAACTAATTTCTTTTGTTATGAATTCTTTGCATCAAATAATCACAAAGTGGAGAGGTTATTTATGCATCTACATATGCCATCTGTTCCCATGTTTCATCTACAGAACTATTAGATGTTAATGAAATTGTATATAGTGCTGAAGGAGGGTTCACACCAGCAGATGTGAGGTAGATTTTATATTGGTACTTAGGGTCAATTAAAATCCCTACTTTATGTGAAGTGGAAACTGAACTTTACAAAATTCCCCAAAATACTTTGTCACATAAAAAGATTGCATGTTACATAAAATATAAGTCTCATTAAGATCTACATTTATATTGAAACATTTTTCATGTGGAGATATTTAAACAACACATGGGGAAAAATGTTATTATGCAGCAATATATTTATGTTATCAAGGTTACTGAGGTATAAGGCAGCATGCAATGGGTTCGATAAATATGAGTACGCTGACTGAACTAAACCTTTCTATTCTTGTTTACTATATATAAATAAGACTGAAGATTTGAAGAAAATATATGCTGATTACCAGACTAATGAAGGTAAGTAAAAATTCTAACAATTATTAATTTCATAGGGAATCTACTTCATAGTTGCTGGTTTGAAAATATTCCCTCCCATGACTTCTATCAGGAAGTGAATCACATTATGATGCCTTGCAATGAAGTAATGTGGGAAAAGGTGTCTGATCTTACATGTGTGAACTTGTAGCTGTGGAGGTCATGAAAGATTTCACTGTGGCAAGTGGCACCCCTGCAGTGGAACACACTGGACCAGAATTCAGAAAACCATGGATTCCATGAATTGGAACTCAAACTAAGACTTTGAAAATGGTGTTCAAACTCAGGAACTTTCCCAGCCCTGGGTTGCAGAACTATTGATCCAGATAACTCTGCACTGAAAAAGAACAATTAATTATGGAAGTGAATTAAATATTGTTAATTAATCAGAAACTCTAGAAAATAATTATATCATTATCTAAGAGTGGAAGTATGTCAAACATTGTAGCATAAAAGTATAAAAGAGCACTCTTTTTCTTAGAAGACAGATCAGATATGTTTGTTGTTGTTGTACTCCATGTCTGCAGTGTAGCTTGTGGTTGATGGAAGAGAGAGTAAGGGAGAAGAGGAGGAGGAAAGCAAGACAAAGAAGTAAAAGGAGGAAGAATGAAGAAATCCCTTCGTATGGGTATAATATACAAGATGGCAGAAGTGATATCGTAGCAGCCCCCCATTCGTCTTACTCTGTGAGAAGAAGCGTATTTTGTTCAGATTATTATATTAGTAGCAAAGTTACAGGTAAGGAACACTGCATGAAAACAATAAGAGAGGTAGGATTACAATTTTACGAAGTAAAGGCAACCTCTATGTATTTCAGTATGATATTGAAAAACGAAGTGTAAAAAAAGAAGAATTAAAGCAAAGTTAGGCAAAATATATGAATTTCTAGATGGCGTAATGCTTAATTAGATAAGCAGAGGTGCAAATTTACTTTTTACCTTAACTTAGAAGATAGCATTTCTCAAACCGTGGTACCCGCCCCCTACGTGTCCCCATTTTCATCACTTCCATTGCAAACTGGTTAACTATGGATGCTTTTCAGAATCAGCTTGTACAGGTACATGTGAACACAATCACTGTTCATGTATACTACAATGACACCAAACGATTATGCAGTCATGAATTATTAGAAACATTCTTCTGTGGGGGGGGCATCTGTTTGCTTCACGGGCTATCAAGCATAACGCTGACACAGACATACACATATACTCATAGTTTAAAACAGAATATATTATGATAATGTCATATTCTGACAAATTTGGTGGAGTACACATGAGTTTACCAAGCACATTACCTCTGGCAGAGCACTGAATTTATATTCATAACAAACCTCCTGTGGGAAGTCCCTGTTTTCTCAGTCCCTCCAGCAGAAATGTTATCACAAAGTGGGTCATTATCAACTTTTTATGTTTAACTGTTCTTTAAATATTACTGGATCACTGCATAATATAGAAACATCTTCAATGACTATGAAAGGCTGGCCACTGATCCATCTTTTCTGTTAACAGGTCTAGCAGCTGTAATCCCCTGACTGAATGGTGTGTACAAAGGAGTGCAGAGGTTCAATTTATTTAAGAATTTGATAAATATTACTATAAACAATGTAGGAAGCAGAAATGTAGTCAATGGAAGTTTTTCACACTCAAAAAGTGATCAAATAATCTTTTTGTTTTGATAAGCATGATTTATATGTATTATTTACCTGTAGAATTGCCTGTATATGTTTTTTACTGATAGTATTGGGATATGATGAGTTCTTTATCAATGTATCTTGATTTATGGGAAAATTAAATAAAGAAAGAAAGAAGGAAGGAAAGATAATTGGTTATAAGTGTGTAAATTTATAATGCATTTAATTCAGTTAATTTAGGTAATTTAAGTGAAATTGTATTAATTTAAAGTTTTTATAGTAAAGTTCTTTTTAAATTATGTTTATTAATAATAATTGTAATAAGTTTTTTATTTTATTATCTATGTTAATTGACTAATGTATGTGATTTTAATTATGTAACTCATGTAATTTATTATATGTATCTGGACACATCTATTATCAAAGGGACTATTTCCACATCCTAGGTTTTTTACCTCTATGAATATATGGAAAATAAAGGGAATGAATGAATGAATGAATGAAAGTTACTGACAATTACAATATATTTATAAACTGTGGTTCCATGTTTCACTACTTTTACTCACTTATTGCAAACTGATTGTTGGGGGGAATGAGGCTGAGTCCTTTGGAACTGTGGCCTCAGGTAAAACTACTGTACTGACATCAAACAGGAGCATGGTAGTGAGAGATGAACAGACAAGAATGTATGGCCTATTTTAAAGTACTATATAGGACTTTGGCTTCAGGGATTGAAAACACTCTGAAAACCCTTAGCTAGGGTACTTGTTCCAGCCATCTGCTGAAAAAAAACGGGACTTATAACTAACTGCTGGACCACAAAGTCTGGTCACCATTTAGTGAATTATGAAGTAATTCTTCAACAATACAAAGAACAAAACAGTTTCAAAAATATCATCCCATGCTCTGTTAATTATTTTTAAATGTTACTATGTGAGTAAATCATTAATGCAGATTTTTTACCTGTACTCAAAGTTCTCTCCTGATCCAAACATGATCCATGAAAAGTCACCTGGTTGAATCTTCCCCTCCTCCTCTAAAGCCTTCACAGCTCTAAATATAAGCTCCGTTTGTTTATGTGGCAACATGAGAACAACTGCCCTAGTTTCCTCTGCCTTCTGTGCTCGGAGCATCCTCAAACTTTTATGTATGAGAGATGTAACATTGATGGAACCAAGAGGGATTGGAATCGCTGATGTTAGCTCCAGCTGAATAGATGAGGCAGTATGTTTTTCAACATATCTGAATATGTCTTCATATTCAACCCCATCCTGATGATATATAACAGAAAAGCAGTCCCACTGTAACTGATGAAGCAGAGCAAGAATGCAGGCTGCACGAACAGTATTAGAAGGTGCAAGCTGAAGTGGATATGGGGAATATCTCTTGCGCTGAGACTTCGGCCCACCTGCCTGCGGGGCCAGTACAGCAACTCCAAGGTGACCTACTGCATCTGTTACAGATGCTGCCAGTTCTGTGTCTCCACCAGCCAGTAAAGCAACAAGATTAATGTCTGTATTGTTCAAATTTTTAAAGAGATTTCGTCCTTCATGGTTAAGAAAATTTGAAACATCCCGTGTAGTTTTAATAATGCTTCCACATGTATCTAAAGCAATGGCGGCTAACGAGAGACGTGAGTTATTGCGATTCACCTGTAAGAGAAATAAAAGCATGAAGGTAAATACATTTCACTAATTCCCTGCAGCAGACCCCTTCCTATGAATCTGATAAGTTGCTAGACTGGTTAAGAAATTCCAGTCCTTTATGGAACAAAAAGATGCTGTAAGATGTTCACAGGAACCTACTACATACCATATCCTGAACCAGATGAATCAAATCTACACTCCTACAACCAATTTCCCTTAAGATCCAATTTACACTATCCTCCCATCTATGCCTAGTTCTTCCATTGTCACGTTCATAAAGATCTTCCAACTAAATTTCTGTGTATTCTCATATCCTCCATGTGTGTTATATGTCCTGCTCATTGCATCCTGCTTGATTTGTTCATCCTAATAATATTTTGGAAAAGTACAAATTGTAAAGAAACAAAATGTTCTAGGTTATGATGCTGTGTAGAGTGGTTGATGGGTACCCATGTTTTTGATGAACATACTGTGTCCATCTTATAAACTATGAAGCTCACACTATGCAACTATCACCAGCCTTCTGCCACTTCCACTAGCTTAGGTTTAAATATTCTCCTCTGCACTTTCTCCCACTAAACTATACCATGGAAAGTAACACTGAAATGAAAGGCTGTGCCATAGCTCAAGCGGTTAGTTGCTGGTTTCCCACCGTGGTGGCCAGGGTTTGATCCCGGGTCTGGTCAAGTGGGTTTTGTGGTGAACAAAGTGGCGCTGGGGCAGGTTTTCTCCAAGTACTTCGGTTTTCCCTGCCAATCTTCATTCCACCAATTGCTCCACAATCACCCTCACCTATCATCTGGGTCTGGTACAAGAGGCCAGAAGTGGCCACAGTACAAGGGACTTAGTCCCACCCCACTAGTAATAAAAAAACACTGAAATGATAGCTAATACACCAAATGCTGCATATAGGGTCATCAGTGTAATTTCATGCAAAACTTTGTGCAGTATGATGTGGATCCGGCTTGGCTATTGAAATTTGGATACAGGCTTTAAGCATTACAAAGAATTTTGCTGTTTGTTTCCTTGTGTACTTAATGTTTTCTCAGCTGCACAAGTTCTAGAATAACAGACAGAAGGATGCCTGTGAATGGTGAATTGGATACAATACACATGGAAGTGGTCATGGCATATTTTAAGACACTGGCATAACATTTGTCAGGATAGACTCAGAAAAACTCGTATTACCTTCCCCCTAGGCTAAGAATTGAACTTCGGACCTCAAAACTGTGAAGCAGGAATGCTAAGCTATCAATCAAAACAAGATAATGTGGTCTCACCTGACAACTGCAATATGGAAGTTTTCAGTAAAGAATAAATTCAAGAACAGTAATCAACTCAGTGACTCAGTGTCAGTAAGAATGAAGGACTTGTGAATGGAGATTATATGATTTTTTTCTTAAGACAGTGACAAAAATGAAAAAGGTAGTAGAGAAAGTTAGCAAACCAAGTCTCTGATAGCTTGTGCGCGCGCGCGCGCCCACACACACACACACACACACACATATATTGTGTGTATACATACTATACAGAGTGACACAGAAGATGATCAGGTATTTGACCTATTAATAAAATCTGCATTTCAATTACAATACTAGAAACTAATATACAAAAAGAAAGATCATTGCATGGAGGTTTATCCTCTGTGAATCAGGTGTTCATTATGACCACCATTACATATGGCAACTTCAGCATGAACTGTGAAGTTGTTCATTACTCAATGGGACATATCCTCAGTTATCTCGTTACAGGCCTGAAGGATTAGTGCTCTCAATTCCATTATTCTTTGCAGTTTTTTTGGAAAAATCTTCTCCTTAAGGAATCCCCAAATAAAGTAGTCAAATGGTTTTAAATCAGGACCATTCGCGGGCCAGTTCTGTCCACATGCAAAATGATCAGGAAATTGGTTTCAGATGACGTGCTAGTTGAAAGCGTCATGCAGAAAGTCCAAAACAACATTCACTTGTGCAGCATGACTCCAACCTGCATGAACCACTGAGTCCGTAACCTGTAGCAAGAAGGCGAGGCACAATATTATAGCGCAGCTTGCTTAAATAGTGGTTACTGTTCACTGTCTCTTCAAAGACAATTGGCCCTAGCAGTCCAAGACTTAAGATGGTGTCCCACACTGTAATCCTCGGTGCATGATGCACCTTCTCATGAATCATGTGGATTCTCTGATACCTAAAATTGCACATTTTGCCTATTAACCATATCATCCAAGTGGAAGTGTGCCTCTATTACGCCGTGGTGACAGGGGGCGTGTAGGTAGCCCTCCTCTGCCACCACATATTATGCTGTAAGGGGTTAACACAATAATACTAGATTACCCTCAGCTAGGATTCTCCTGGTTCTGGACTTCCTTTGTTGCATACAGCTGCCACCATCTATTAAATCTTATGAAGGGGTGATGAAAGTACTAAGGGCCGGTAGCGCGGTAGTCTAGCGTTCTCTGTTGGCTGGCCCCTTCATCACTGTCACCACTTATTATTGGCATAGAGTGGGCGTGTCGGGTCTGACCCGCCTCTACCCCTCGACTGTCACACCATATATTACACCTCTATGACAGGGGTTGATTTGATATCTCCCCGCTGTCACCAATTATTATGTCTTAGTAACGGGTGTGGGTCACAACACACTAAATCACTTGGTCTGCCATTTCTCTTTGGCTAGTCCCTTCGCTATGTCAGTCAACCCTTCGTTGACTCGGCCCACCGCCATTGCCATAAGTAATACTTCGATGTAAGAGGTGAGTAAAACACAGTTACTCTTTCTGTACGTCAGCCACCTTGTGTTGGCTGATCCCCACCTCTGCCATCACTTTGTTATGCCTGAAGGGGCTAATGAAATATCTAAATTACTCATCCATTGTTCCCTCTCGGGATGCTATCTCTCTGTCTCCTATCAGCCTCTCACCCTTAACTTGGATTCTCATAACCCTTACTGCTTGTTGCATCCGGCTGCTGCTGGCCGCCTGAGTCAGTTCCGCCCTTTGCTTGGGACTGGGAAAGGGAGGAGTTTGTGAGGGTGAATCATACTCTGGGTACATCCTACCCTAAGTACACTGTCTATTTACACTCTTATTTACAATCCTATTTACAGTATGAACAATGCCGACTTTCAGTCGGGACTACATAGTGTCTTTACTTTCATGTTATGCCTTCCTCATGTTCTCCCCTTCGGGGGTGTAGGACTTGAGCCTCTCTCTCTCTCTCTCTCTGTTTCGACTCATGAGGATATGCAAGTATTCATCATTCAATGTGATCCTCTTTCCTCTCTCTATTCCCTACTACTCATTACATAATTCTACACTATTCTGTCATTATACTTCACCCTTAAAATATTCTGCCCCTAAAGTTATACATACCGAAGCGGCCTCCGTAGTCTAGGGGTAACGTTCCCACCTGACTCAAGGTACACGGGTTCAAACCCGGTGGAGGTCGTGGAATTTTTAAGGGTGGAAAAATTCAGGCAACAAGTCCTCCGGGAGGGACTTTAAGCCATGGGTCCCGTGTCGTAGATTTATGGCACGTAAAAGAACCTCATGTCTCTAGGAGACCTCTGAGCTAAATTTGGCAAAAGTTTCCTGCCCAAAGTAGTTTCCAATGCCTCCGGTAGATGGGGAAGTATTAGGTACCACTGCCAGAGGAGGGGGACCTCTCTGACAGAAAGGGACTAACTATTAGATACCACTGCCAGTAGAAGGTTGGAACCTTGCTGGCAGAAAGAGGCTAATAGCAGCACCAGTACCAGTAAGGTATGGAGACAGTAGAAATTAAAAGGGGGATGCACACTGGACCAATAACTGGTCTAAGTGCATGGGGAAACCCACCCCCTCAATACTCAATATACTCGTACATACCGAAAGCCTACATATATTTATCACAAATCAACGGTCACAACTATGAACAACAAATATGCGTGCTCCGCATACTACCAGTAATCATGACACACTATATAATGACGGCCATATTTGCTGTCTAGTAACCTCGGCAACCACTTGTTACGTTATTTCTCTTATTCCACCTTAAATCTCGCTGGGCTCACTGGAGATTGCTTTTCAACATTTTAACCATTTAACCACAACAATAAAGTTTAAGAGCATGGCTAGTATGAGCAAACATGACTTACTTGATATAGAGATGCAGCGACACCCCCACTTGTTGTACCCATGTCAGACAGAGCCTACGACTAATTGTTACGTTTTTAGATCAGATCCCCATTGAGTTTTTTTCTCATTTTTATACACTAATTTTGCTAGCGCTGCAGTTGGTGAAAGAGGGAGGTTAACTACTCCCCTTGTTCTACATTTCGGGGTGGAGGGTTTTCATTGGCTAACCCCTTTGGCAGTGGGCGGGTCCGTGGTACCTCATCGCTGCATATTTGATAAATTCATTTTACTCCCGTGGCCCAGTTAGGGGAGCTTCCTACTTATGCGATTAAGCATAAATGCTGATCATCAACATTCTTAACCTAGATCCCTAGTCCAGGTGTTGTCATCCTCGCTCTAATTGCTATAAAACGCTTTTGTAAGTCTCGTAACATTTAAGCAATGTCTTTTGATTTTCAGTCTCGAAATTGCGGCATAACAGCCTCATCAGAAAACCAAACATTGCTGAATGATACCTCATTATTCTGAGCCCATTCAGCAAATGTCATTCTTTGATGTTTGTTTTGAACTGTAAGTTTAGGCAACACTGTCATTTTGTATGAATGCCAATTCAAATAACTTTTCAATATTTGTTGCACCAATCATCTGGATATCCCTAGTTTTGCTACAGCCTTCCTTGTTGATTTATTGAGGCTCCTTTCAGCGCCACTCTGACAGTATCAATGTTCTCCGGAGAATGCAAAGACGAAGGCAGGCGCTGTTTCCTCTCCAACACCGAACCATGATTATTAAACTGGTTATAAAGTTTATGAATTGTTTTGAATGAAGATGCCCATTGCATTTGAAAATGGAGTATCCTGAGTAAACTGGCACATGAGCAGGAACAATGCAACACTAGCACGTATGGGAAGAGGAAGAACTAATCTCCATGATCTATTGTGTTACCATGTTACAATTGAACCCAGGTAAGGTTATGTGGGATTTGTGGTGGACAAAGTATCAGTGGGGCAGGTTTTCTCCGGTTTTCGGTTTCCCCTAACAATTCTTATTCCGACTGCTCCACAATCACCATCATCTATCATCCAGGGCTGGTACAATAGGCCAATTAGTGGCCAACATACCAAGTGGACTCAGTCTCACCACAACCCCCCCAAAAAAAACTATCTACCATGTTACAAGACGTTGTTTATTGAATGGTTGAATAATTAGTACTAGTTAGTTAGTTGGTTATTGGAGAGGGTGGGTTTCCCCATGCACTTAGACCAGTAGTGGTCCACTGTGCTTCCCTCTATGATATTCTACCAGTCTCTATACCCTACCGATATTGGTGCGTACCATCAGTCCCCCATCTATCAGAGGCGTTAGATACTACTGTTGGGCGCGAAATGTCCTTGAATTTGGCTCAGTGACCTCTTTTGGAGATATGAGGTTCTTTTACGTGCCGTAAAGCTACAACACGGGACCCATGGCTTAAAGTCCCTCCCGGAGGACTTGTTCCCTGAATTTTTCCACCCTTAAAAATTCCACGACCTCCGCCGGGTTTGAACCCGCGTACCACGAGTCATGAGGTGGGAACGTTACCTCTAGACTATGGAGACCGCTATCATTAGTACTAAATCAAATACTGGGTCATTTCATGCACCACTCTGTATACATAAAGGAGGAAGTGAGGCAAGTTTATAGATTAAATTGTCTAAACTGTGATTTTTATGTTTGCTTTACCTGATCAATTGCCCATAGAAATGCTTCCAGTTGTTCTATGCCTTGCTTGCTAAGTTCTCCTCCACATTCAAGGGGGTTTCGTGAAGCTTCATGGACATTTAGTGTGGCTGCTATATACAACACAATATCTTGACTCTTCCCTTGTTCATTGTTTTCTTTGGGCTTCATCATGGTTACCCAGTCAGTCGGTGACACATTTTCATAATGTCTTTTGCAGTGAGGACAATTGCTGTGAGCACTACACTGAGATGACAGTGATGTCACTTGTATCTCGTCCCCTGAATCATGATAAGCCACAACATGTTTCAGACTTCGCAGCTTATTATCAAGAAACTGATCAACCTGAAAATACATGTTACTTTGAAAATCATATGTAGAATTCCTTATTACATACAAAATCAAGTGAGGAATTAATTGACAACTTGTTTTCTTGGAAGAATCTAAAAACCAATCGCCTTAAAACATTAGATAATAAATGTTCAAAATTAAAGGATATGATACAATTGAGATTCAAAATTGCTAGTAATATATCAGTATGCATACTGATGATTAGTTGATTATAAGAAAACAAAAGTATAATATGAAGAAATCCAATTCTATTCAATAAAGCAACACAGGATTATTAACAACCAGAAAACATGTCATGAAACAATATACAATTCAAACTGTCAGTGTCTTCTTCAATAATGAAAGTACTGAATAATGTAAATTAAAACAATGGGTCTAACAAAATATAACATAAAACAACAGGGACACTTTGTTTTATTGCTAGTGGGGTGGGACTAAGTCCCTTGTACTGTGACCACTTCTGGCCTATTGTACCAGCCCCAGATGATATATGAGGGTGATTGTGGAGCAATTGGTGGAATTAAGATTGGAAGGGGAAACTGAAGTAGTCGGAGAAAACTTGCCCCAGTGCCACTTTGTCCAACACAAATCCCACTAGACCAGACCCGGGATCGAACCAGTGCCACTGCGGTGGGAAGCCAGCGACTAACTGCTTGAGCTATGGCGCGGCCCTAGGGACACTTCTTACTGCAACTCTGAAGATATAGGAGAATAAGATGAAGACAAGTCTGTACCTGCACTAGGATCCCAGCTGTTGAAATAATGAAATTATGACAGTAAGTTTGGATAAATATGGAAACCCAATGAAGAATAGTACCACACAGAGTGAAAATCCCATTTAATGTTTCTTTGGGGAGCAGAGAATCTGTACATTAGATTGAGGAAAATTATAAATGTAGGGTATTTTAATATTAGAATTGTTGATATAGTATCAATGAAAGTGAACATTAATGGAAGGAAAACCTTAAACTCAGATACATTAAATGAGGACTCCACTGTAAAAGGATTTGAAACAACAGTCTGGTGAGGTACTCATAAGGGGAACGCAGTTTCCTACATTATGTCAAAAAAAAAAGCCTGTTATTAATATATTTCCTGACACATTTCACTTGCAGATAGCTCTGTGTAAGGTGACATGTCAGCCAATATGACAAAAATTATCCCAGTAAACTGAACAGAACCAAAAGAAAAGGAAATGTAATAAAATAAATTTTATAAGCTTGCATCCTTTTTGTGTCTATTTTAATCCAGAAGATTAATCACCACATAAAACTTATATTAGAGCATTTTGATTTTATTTCTTGATATATACTACATGACTTTACCATAAAAAGTTAAGTTTATACTCATATCGATGAAAAATTAAATTAGGTTTGACATAATTCACCATTATTTTGTCTGTATTTATATAAAATTGACTATATTAACAAATTTGTAATTACAGTCTTGATATAAGTGGCTGATTTGTGTATCACACTCGTCTTTAATGCAAATTAAAACTGTTCACAAATAGCTTTAAAATCACATCAATTGCCACATGTTCTGACTTACTTGGCCATCTTCAGTAAATTGTACACTTTCTGAAACTGTTGCACTGCATAGGTTTTAGGTCAAAATATTTACATGCTACACAGTCAACTATTAGACTGGACCCAAAATATCATTGATACAAAGGGGGACCCAAAAATAACCGGAACCGACCTGTTGCGCGCGCATGCTTTGTAGTTATGAGTTGTGCTGCTAGGTGGTGTTAGCTGGGGGTCTCCCGCGACTGTTAGTGAGCTGGCGTCAGTCTGAGTTAAGTGGTTTGTCTGTGGTGCTCTGTTGTGTGCGTTCCTGTTTCAACCCTTTGACGATTAGTGAGATGGCCGACCAGAAGGAACAAAGAGTGTGCGTGAAATTTTGCTTTCTGTTAGGGAAAACTGCAGCCGAGACTGTTGGGATGCTTCGGCAAGCCTTTAATGATGATGCTTTGGGGAAATCACAGGTCTATGAGTGGTTTTCCCATTTCAAATCAGGCAACATGTCAACAGAAGACATGCCATGCCCTGGGCGTCCTTCGACAGGAAGAAATGATGAAAACATTGCCAAAATCAAACGTGCAATTGATGAAGATCGTCGAAAGACCATTGACCAACTTTCTGAGGAAACGAACATCTCATGGAGCACGGTCCAGCGAATTTTAACCGAAGGTTTGCACATGAGACGGGTGTCTGCAAAATTTGTTCCTCGCTTGCTCGGAGATGACCAAAGAGAAAACCACGTGAATGTTTGCCGCGACTTGAAGAGTGAAGTGCAGAACGATCCAGAATTTCTTAAAAGAATTGTGACTGGCGATGAGTCTTGGTGCTACGGGTACGATCCAGAATCAAAGCAATCATCAAGCCAGTGGAAAACTCCAACTTCACCACGACCGAAGAAAGCGCGTCAAGTGCGATCCAATGTGAAAACAATGTTGATTTGTTTTTTTGATGTGAATGGCATTGTCCACAAAGAGTTCGTTCCGCCAGGACAAACAGTGAACCAACATTTTTACCTGGATGTGTTACGAAGATTACGAGAGAGTGTGCGATGAAAACGGTCCGAAATGTGGAGAAATGGGAACTGGTTGCTTCACCACGACAATGCTCCAGCCCACACAGCTTTGACGGTCCGACAGTTTTTGACAAGCAACAACATGGTGATTGTGCCTCATCCACCTTACTCACCCGACCTGGCTCCGTCGGACTTTTTTTGTTTCCACGGATGAAGAGAAGTCTGAAAGGAAAGCGATTCCATGATGTGGATGAAGTCAAAGAAAACACGCTAATCGCCAATCGCTAATCTCACTAATCGCCAGAGGGTTGAAACAGGAACGCACACAACAGAGCACCACAGACAAACCACTTAACTCAGACTGATGCCAGCTCACTAACAGTCGCGGGAGATGCCCAGCTAACACCATCTAGCAGCACAACTCGTAACTACAAAGCATGCGCGCGCAACAGGTCGGTTCCGGTTATTTTTGGGTCCCCCCTCGTAAATATAGTTATTTTGCACATCCATCAGAAAGATATTATAATAAACTTACTCTCTCAAAATAAATATCTCCCAGCGTCCCTCTCCAACCTCGAAAGTTGTCTCTCAAGTTCAGCATTTCTACTGGAATATTTCCCATTCCTGAGCTGGTGAATCTGAAATCTTCAATGACTGAGCCATCAGCCCTCTGTGCACAGGATCTATGTAGTTCCTGATTTAATGCTTTTTGTATATCTAGCCTGAAAGAGGACACTATATTTAGGCACTTGACTCTTGGAATCGTTTTCAGTAATCAACCATGTGAATGAAAAAAAAAAAAAACTCCAGTATTTCAAAGATATCCCCTGTCTCTCTCTCTCTCTCTCTCTAAGCTCTTACTGTATGATCAGCAACATCAATATAGAACTACAGAACTAATGTGTAATGTTTTGTAGACTGCATCTGCTTCTCTTATTATCTTAGTATTAGTATTATTATTATTTCCATGGTTTATGCTAACCGTCTTACAGTGTATACACTTTTTCACCTTATTCTTCACTTCCACACTACATGTTTCAGCACTAATGTGCCATCCTCAGGTGTCTTTATGCACGTTAAACTATTGTACTGCATGCCATGATGTCTTCATTCTAAAATGACTAAAATCTGTATTCGTCATATATGTCGATGAATTCTAAATAATAAAACTTTTCAGGATTCATCCTATGTCGCACTCAAACACACGAATTACGCCAATCCTCTTTTATGTGAGCATTCTTCCTACATACATTTGTGTATCGTGTTCTGTGTTGTTTCAAATGTAGACGTACTGTTAGCACACGCCAAACAGTGGATTGAGGGATCGCAAACTCACGGCTAGCTCGATTTGTTGACTTCCGCGGGCTCCTCTCAAACGCAGCATGGATTCTCGCCACTTGTTCCTCTTAGACTCGTGGTCGTCCGGGACTTTTTCCTTTACACAGACACCCACTCTGTTGAAACTGTCGAAACCACTGTCGAATGATCTTAGGACAGGGGGGATTAATGCCAAATCGCCTTCGAAAGCATACTGCACCATGACAACCGAATTTGTTTTCACGAACTCGAGAACGCAGAACGCCTTTTGCTGAGGACTCGCCATTCCAAGGGTAAACGAACAACTGAACATTGCCGGAAGAACGATGTGACTTCAGCACCCTTGTGGCAGCCATTCACAACTTAGATAACTCCTCTTTCAAATGGTCACTGACTCATTCCATGACGATGCTTGAGAACTGAAGCAATGCGTCATGAAATTGGTTCATTCTTTTTGAATAACCATGTATTATTATCTTCAGACACTCTACAGTATTTGAAATAAACTGAATTGAATCGAAATGAATAAATAACATAAATGTAAAATTACTGGAAAAATGTTCATTTGAATCCAGTCCTGTAATCTTACTACAAAACATGTTCATACCTTTCTATACTGACCTGGTGTAAGTATGTAAACAAGAGCCATCTGTAACCATAATGGAACTGTTCTTGCAAAGTTGAGAAAATATCGCTTCAAATGCTGCACCAATAGAATACACAGCTTGCACAGTGTTAAAATCTAGGTGGCTACCCATCTCCAGGAGCAATTTACATTCTGGATCATTACACATTATACCCTGAAATACATACATATATACAGAATTTAAATAATTACATTTAACTATGAAAGATATGTGAAGATAGTCTCAATGCAAATATTGGTAAGGAAAAGAAGACAAAAATATTCTTAACAATTCCCTACAAAAAATATTACCTACAACTTGCACTATACTTTTCCCTTTAAAGTCAAAGTCAAAGTCACATTGCGACTGATGGTCGATCAGTCGCTCAGTAACTCTTGGTGTTGAGCCCCATCTGGGGCTTATTTGACTAGATATTTATTACTCTTTGACAGTTACGGTCTTATTTTTGTGGGGCGTCCTCTCTAACGATAGGACAGGGTTTGTCTTTTGTATATGCTGCTGGTCCTTGCCAGCATTCTTTCTCGGATCCGAATCCCTTGGGACTCGTGACCATACTTTACTGCCTCAGAATTGAGAGTTATTCGACCCCACCTCCACACGGGAAAATATGGACACAGGTTAGTCATTTCCATATGTTTCCATTATTTTAATTTTTCTTCTATAACACAGCAACAATTGAAGCATGAAATTTGCAGTTTCATAATAGCTTAAGCAGGATAGGTCACAAAATATTAAAATATAATAAAATAGAAGACCGTGATTTAATGCTTTGCTATGACTATGTAGTAAAGTAAAATTTTTTTTTTGTGGTTCTCTGGCTGTTACAACAAATATTTCAAAATAAACCAATCCAGTTGTTTACATTGGTTTTATTTAATAACTGCTACATGTTTCAGTCCATATTTTGGACCATCACTGGTTCAAATCCTGATGATGTCATTGGAATTTTCCAATTGACCTAACCTTCCAGCCATATTATGGCCCTGGGGTCGACTCAGCCTCTAACAGAAATGAGTACTAGGAATCTTCCTTGGGGATAAAGGGTGGCCAGCATGTAAGGCTGACAACCTCACTGCCATCTGTGAGCCAACTGTCCAGAAAATGGGGAGCCTCAACAACTCACAGCCATATGGGCCTTCACGGCCTGTTACAGGGGGAGCTCTTTACTATTTTTTACCTCTTGTAGCATACTTTAAAGAATTTTTTCCCTGCGGCAAATATTTAGCAATACATAATCAACCATGCTTTTTGGCTCAAAGTGCTCCTTAAAATGAATGAAACTGAAATAAAATGATAATAGCTTGACAAAATACAGTATAATTTACCATACTGAATTGCATTAATTTGAGCTTTTTATAGACTCCACAAAGAGGTTAAAAGCATGCAAATAGTTTTAACCTTTTATCATATGACTGCTACAAATGGCTTTAACCTATTATCATATGACTTCTATATCATATTTAAGGGAAAATGTTGTTCTGCAGGGCAACTCAGTCTTTTCCTGCCTTCTCTAACTGAATATCATTGATCATACTTCAATATTTTTAATTTTAAGAATAACACAGAAACAACATTATGTGAATGAACACAACTGAGTTAGAGAATACGACTGGCATGAATCCACTGAAACAAGCTGACAGTATTACCATGTGAAATGGAATTTGTGGAACAAAACTTGAATGTACCTCTTGGTAATACTTGAGCAGCCAAGGATTCTTGGTTTCCTTAGCACCAGAATGAATTTGTTGCAGGTGGTGCAAAAACTCTTGTATTGGTCTGTGATGTGGCCTAAAAACGGAAGATTAATTGCAGGGTTCAGCAACTTGAAATTATGTGCATGTTCATATCTAAATCAGGTGATAAAATGAAAAGTATTTACAAAACCAGTTGATGGACACAAAAATGTCAATATTATATAGGCAACAAACACTGAGATGTTTATTAATCCTACTCCTGAAGCTACACACTACAGTTCAAGCTACCCTCGACATATATACAAGAAAAGATTATTATTACTAATACTTGATTTCATGACCATTATGTCAATAACAATTACGCTTATAGTATACTTCTATCTCATACAACAGTAAGAGTTAGAATTACTCATATATTATTAGTCTGTGCATTTGTATCTGATATATTTCAGCCCTAACTGGTCACCTGCCAGGCTTTTTAACGTTATTAAAAGTGTAAGGTTTGAGGTTTTCACAAAGGCGACTATGAAGAATGTCATCTTCTGGGATGTGGCACTGTGTATATTT